TGTTCAATTTGAATGACAGAATACACGAATTAACACTTACACCATTGGCGACGGTAAAGATGTAATAACGTTTATGATGTGCCGCTTTGTTAGAAAAACGTCACAATTAGTTTTGTACATTTTTTTGCTGTTATTCACTTGGCTAATTTATAAAGAAATCTTGCTTTGTGTTAAGACTGTTAGTGTATATTACAATCAAAATAAAGGAAGAATGTATTGAAAGGTACAATATGTAGATACTTTTGTTGCATACTAGAAAACAAAAATTATTACATAAACTGTAGACAGCGGTAAAACTCTATCAATTAAAAAAACATTTTATATCGCTTATTGGGATTCCAATACGAGAGAGTTTTTGAAAGAAAACCTTTATCCTTGCTTCAATATGATCTTAAAAAGATAAAAAAAAATAAAAAACAAAATAAAACACGGCATAGTTTGTTTAATGTAACAATGAACGCGATTTTTATTGTATTATGAGGCCTGTTAGAGTCAAAAAATACCAGATTGTGTAGCCTACCGTAAATCAACGGAAGTTCGCGTGTGAAGCTGTATATCTCTACTCTACATATACATTTTTAGATATTGTAACTATACTGCATAAACATGTAAAATAAAGAAATATTTGTAAATGTAAGTTGGCTGGACCACAATCGAGAACTACTGCTTCAGTCCTACTTTGACTTTTTCCTACGATATGAAGAAGTCATAAAAATTATTGCATGCTGTTGAAGCTATTCCATACGGCTTTTAATTTTGATGTACATAGCTTTATTTAATATTCTACAAGCTTTGACTTATAAGCGCAAACATGGTCACTCTCGATTTACAAAGATCTTACATACATTGTAACTGGTACCAAACAAATAAATGAACGAATCATCTATTTGAAAGATAAGTGGAAGGAAGATGTCAATAACTGAATATTGTCTAATAAGGAACTAACCGATAAGTGTTGTAAACTTCGCGGACTGTTTCGCGAAGTATGTGAATTTNCAATAACGATATTTTAAATTTATTTTATTTTACATTCATGGAGAATGTCAGAAAATTGTAGAGGACTTGTCTTCTTTTCGACCAATAGTATCCAAATCTGCCTCTGCGAATAGAAATGAAGTTGAAGCAAGACAAAAATAAGAAAATTAATATATTAGCTTATTTTAACGCCAACCGTAGAAGTTCCATTTCTGCAACCTCAAATGAGAATATCGTATCTATTCCATAGAATGTTGCACAATCATGAATTCTATCTATATTATTGTATTACTTTACAATCATTTAGAGAAAGGGATGATACAAGAAGAATAGAATTTGGTGAATTTATGTTAGTAAATGTTATGTTAATGCTTCTGATCTACATGGTCCCTGAATGAATTTGTTTTTGCGCGTAGTCTTTGTCGTGAGATCGTTCTTTATGTTTTTGTAGGTGTGTGGATCAAATGGAGTGCTAATCTTCCATATAGAATTCCCCTAATCTACTCGAAGAATTGTATTGGTTTTGTCAGCGTTCAGTTGTTTCAATGCCTGAATGTCCTTTGTGGTTAAAGTTTAGTGACGTTTCTTTGCACAACTGAATATACATAAAGATTTATTAGGAATTTCATCGGATATTTGTGTTGATAGGGTGCAAATGCCTGCTTCGATATTGGAGATGATGTGTTCTGACGTGGAAATAAGTTCACGTGATACGGTAGATTACCTCCTTAGAAAGTAGAAAGAGGAGACTGTGGTAAATATCAATTAAAAATTAAAAGGAAGACTCACCCCTAATTACCACAAAAAGAAAAACCTTATTTGAACGGACACGTGTTTCGCCCACTTCATACGTCGGCACAAGACGAGACAGTCTCGCGTTGATAATGCCCATGTATGAAGTGGGAGAAACACGTGTCCGCTCAAATAAGTTTTTTTTTGTGGTAATTAGAGGTGAGTCTTCCTTTTAATTTTTAATACCTCCTTAGATTCTGTGAAAACTTCTTCTGCGAGGTTGCTAACCACACGGACCTTTTTATTTTGTGTGTGACTTTCGCGACTTTCTTCCACTTACTTTCAAATTTGCGTATCTGTCTATCACTGGCATTCGCGTACTCTACTTGCATAGACTTCGGTAGAGATGAACATCCAATAGCAATTACCTTAGCCAGATCTCGTCTTTGATCAGCATGTATACTTATAGCACAGTATAAAGATTTAGGTTGACTTTTGATTTGCCTAAAATACCAAAATTTTTTACAGACTAACATAAATTAACTTTGTTTGTGCAGAACTGCCATTTACGAGAACGGTTCAAAAGCTTTACCGCAGCGTTTAGAAACGAAATATATTTATACTGTGACTTCACCATGACATACTGTACGTTGCCTGTGTTTTATTATAATTTTGGTGTCTATTAAATTAATATGAATTTTTTAAATGAAGATTTCATTCTTTTAAAAAAATCTCAATATTGTGTTTTTGATTATTCCATATTTATCGCCTTTAATAAATGATCACTTCATGCATATTTTATATACAAAATAGTTTTTGATGTTTGATGTCTGCCAGGCGTCCCGCAACGGCTCACTTTTTTTTTATTAAATTCCATTTACGTTCCCAACTGAATTTTCATATTAATTATAGCATTTTTTTTTTGTAAAGACAATTAAAACACCTTTCAAGTAATGTCACCCCCCTGTTTCTTTTAAGATTCTTGAAGAGATTGTCTTCCCCTTTGTAAGGAAGACCGTAAATCCAGCCATTTATAAGCAAAACATGTCCGCCTAGTTGACAAATTCGACCGATATCAAGGTCTTAAAAAAATTGCGCTTGAAGATTATCCAGGTGGAGAGTTTTAAATGTGCCACTCTGTATACATATATTTCCATATTTTGTTGTCAAGTCCCTCACAAAAAAAGTCTTAAGCGTAAAAATCTACAAATTATGTAGGAACAACGTTATTTTATATTGTGCATTTAAACAAAAATAATTAATATGGACTCAAACCTCCCTAATTCGAATCTTCTAAATGCACTTTTTAATTTTGTTTTGATGACAGCGCCTCTACGTATATTACTGTTGTGAAATCCACCGCTATAAGACACCCTTACAAGGTCAAATCATGATGTCTTCATTCCTGTTGTCTTTTTCTCCCGTAACCTCATGATCCTATCCTAACCACTTATTTTACTGTTTTTCATCATCTAATATTAAGTGCCACAGTAAAATTTGTGATGGTAAAAGTTAATTGCGATAATTTTTCCGATAAAAATTAATGGAAATTGGAATTAACGGGAAAATTTTAAAAGTACCTAAATCCAGCATTAAAGAAATTGATAAATTCTATTTAAATAGTTTGGAAATAATGTAAAACTATATAAATCATCATCATCACAATGTCGTCAGCCCATAGAATGGTTGGACATGCATCACTACTGTTTCTTATCCTGAACTAATCTTCGCATTTCCCTAAAACTAGAACAACCCATATCATTAACTATTTGCGAACAGAAATCTAATCTAGGTCTACGTCTATTCCTCTTAACTCCTGTTTCTGCCCCTAACATATCTCTAACTAGATTTTCATGTCTAAGAAGATGTCCTACCGACCTATCTCGCCTATTTCTTATTGTCTTCCATAGAGTCCCCTGTTCACCTATTCTTTCTAATACCTCTTCATTTCTAACCTTCTCTATCCACAGTATCCTCGTTATTCGCCTGTAACACCATATTTTAACGCTTTTAACTTTTCCTTTTCCGCCGCGCCTACCGTCCATGTTTCGCACCCGTATAGTGCCGCGCTCCAGACTTACACTTTTAACAATTTTTCAAATTTCTAAATAAACTGTTCGCGAGCATAGAAGTAACACTTTTTACTGAAGGCGAGTCGACCCTGTGCTATTCTCTGTTTTATATCTTTATTACTCCTTCTATCCTGAGTTATCTGCCTTTCTAGATATCGAAAATCAGCCACGTGTTCTAATTTTTCGTCTCCCATCTTCATATTTACTCTTTCTCTACTTTTTCTTCTGAGCTAATCTTCGCATTTCCCTAAAATTAGAACACTCCACATTTTTAACTCCTCTTAACTCCCGTTTCTGCCTCTAATATCACTCTGACTAGACCTTCATTCGTGAAAGTGTCCTACCAAACTAGCTCGCCAGTACTTTTATTTATGATGTAAATCGAGAACAAAAAAATATTCGAGGTAGAAAGTATTTTGCCTTCGAATTATAGAAGCATGACAGTACTAGAGAAAAAAAAAGGTATAAACTGTTTCATGAAATACGAAATTTTCGGCGGGGAAATCAAAATCGCACTTGGATAATTTCATTTAATTACGTATTGTTCTATGTAGGTACAACGTTTTTGGTAGTTTTTAGTTCAACGAGTTATAAAAAACTACGCCGTAGAGCATGTATAAATAAGTAACTAAGTATTTGGGTATTCGATAAAATTCTACACTAAAGAAAATCATCAAATGGGAGACATTACAAAATACCTGAATAACTGTTTTTCATAGGACAATATGTTTACTCATATTATTCACTGGTAGATAACCGAGTGAGTGAGTGTACTATCTATCCCTTGGAATCATAACATAACAATTTATAAAGCTTTTGTTTTATTGTATCCTGCTCTAAACAAGTTAATTAAGTATGTACCACCAATACGCAATTTTTCGGCCGGTTACAGTTTTACAAGACGGGTATCATTATTAGAGAAAGCGTTTTTTAATACAAAATAACTCCGAATTACCGTTGAAACTAAATACTTAATTGTATCATGATATTACTTAACAAGAAATCTGTGATTCAAATATACAGGGTAGTCAATATTATCGTAAGATAAAATAAAATAAGTTACACTCAGATACTTCTATACATGCATGGTACGTAGCAGCGCAATTTTCCCCGTGTTAAATCGACGACATTGTGAAGGCGTATAAGTAATAGTATAATAGCTCTAATAGCTCATGGCTATATTGCTGAGCAATTGCAAGGAAACTAGTTTGGAGCAAGACATCGCATTTGTAAGGTATAAAAAAATAAAAATTGGGATAACGTGCAAATTGTGTTTTGATTCGTTTTTTTTTATTAGAGCAAAAAGTTGTATCGGGTGGTGAGAATTGTAACAAACAAATAAGTAAATAAATATAATAGGTCGCGTTCACTTGAAGATGTTTAAAAATGACCTACTTAAATTTTTGCTCGAATAATACAAGGTCGTCGTACATTTTTCATAACTTATTGCATCTTTTAAATGACAGAAATAAGGTAAGGTTAAAAGAAAATTATTTTTATGATAAGTGTATTTGCTTATTTTTTTAATGCCCTCATATACATTTTGTAAAAAAAAAAAAATTAAAACTCTTAATGAACACTTACTAATAATGTATCATTCATGCTTTACCTCTCACTGAACTGAGTGCAAATATAAAATTCTCAAATTACCACGCAATTCAATATCATTACGCCGATAAGTATTATTTTTCAAAATAAATTAAATTAATTTATTCCTGGCAGTGCCCGTGCAGTTCACATCTACTATTTCAAAATCGTTCTTCCAGTACATTTTCGGTAACAGTGAAAACAAACGTATTATGAGTTATACAAAATCAATAATGTAATTTAATACGCTATTTTCCAACGTTTCCTATATATATTTAAAGATATTAAAGTCAGTAGAGGTAATAAATTCAATATGGACCATTAACATAGATAGATTATATTTTATATATTTGTATTTATAGATATAAATAACAGATGTAACGTTTTCTTGACCTACATCTACATTATCAATAGTTAACTTTCATCTAGATAAATTGCTCAAATTATCATGCCTTTGCTGTTCCTTACTAAGGAAATCCTTTTTTCTTATATAAATACCCAATTAATAAATAATAATTGTATTAAAATTCATCTAATTAAACTTAAATAATTAACTGCATGACAAATAATACTGAACTAAGTAAAATCTGCTGCTTTGCAAAACATTTTTTAGTATTAATAATGCTAATTCCGGCTTTTTGTCGGCGCTTTCTAATTCTATCAGCATAAAGAAAATCGAGAAAAAATTTTACAAACGCTCNAAGGTTATCTATTGGCTGCTTTGCAAAACATTTTTTAGTATTAATAATGCTAATTCCGGCTTTTTGTCGGCGCTTTCTAATTCTATCAGCATAAAGAAAATCGAGAAAAAATTTTACAAACGCTCTAAAATAAACCATGAATTATTACAGATAGTGATTTACTTTAAAAATAATTCAAAAGTAACTATTTATTGTTAATGCAATTAAACTTTTGGACTACGACGTAGGTATTTAGACTTCCTAGTTCTGGGCTTATTATATTGGGGCCGCCCCTACCATCAGTATTTCTTCATATGTTTGCCATATAAAATATTAATTATGTAAGATAACACAATTGATACAAAAAGCATGTATTTGAACCCAATTTGATAAAGAAATTTCTTTCTTGATTTCTGTGATGCAAAAACGCCAATAAAATCCGAAAGGTTTGAAATCTTCATCATTACAGTTTTTATTGAAAACACATCCAACGAACTAGTTGTCTCTTCACCGTGCAATTAGAATAGGAATACATAAAAATATTCGCAATGCGATATTAATATGCGTATGAATATCTTCTACGTCTTTTTCCTTAATTTTTTTATTGCAAAGATGTGCTAGGAGTCACTTTTATATATCTACATTGTACAGCTTAAGTAATCCCCAAATATGTAAACATTCATTTATGAAATATTTACCAAATCAAGAGGTAATTCAGTTTTGAATAATACAGTCAATCTGGATTTTACCTGGTTCGATTATAGAGGACAAATGTTGATACATTCAAATGAAAAAGCAATTCGATTTACTGTTAATGAATACAAATGTTTTTGGAAGGACTATGATTATTTTTAAAACAATTTATACGTAAACTTTTGAGAGTGCACCTTTTCTGAGTTATCCACAAGAATAGCGTCTACCAGAAACTGGGAACAACTGATGCTCATAACAACATTATTCAGCAGTTTTTGAAATAAAAAATTTGGTGAACCAACATTATTATCTGTATTAATAGGTGAAAGTCGAATATTTTGATACAAAAACCGACTTCAATACTTTGCATATAGGCACAAACAATAAAAAAATCTGACCGAAATAACAAGATTTCATTAGTTTGTCCAACTAATTTTTCATCCTTGGAGGTAGAATATTTTCTTCAAATTTAAATGGGACCACCCGTGATATGTAACCTGACCTACGGATATACCTAATAAATTTTTAGTTTCAAAATAGTTAAATATTAAACTAAACAAAAGGCGTCTGTATTGCTTTATTTGCGGTTATTCTTGTATAACACGATTGTGGTTTTGATAAGATACAATTAATCAATTTCTGTCATAAAAATTGTTGTATCTTTCTATTTTTATACAATTATCATCAGTGGCAACTCATACTTATAATATAACCTAAGCTACTGCTCTAGAAAAATTTTAACTTTTGTTTTAAAATTGTGTGAAATGAAACAAACGACGAAGAAAATAAAATATCTCCCAGAAGCAAGCCACAGTCAGCACTCAAGTAACGGAAACAGTGTGGCCAACTTTTAAAAAACTCCTAGCACATCAAGAAATCCAATTCGCCCAAAATCGCCAAACGCTAAATAGGACTACTAAATATAAATAAAGGCGCATTGACGTAATTCTCTTCGAAAGAATTTTTTTCTAGATATATCAACAACTTTTTCAATCGATTTCAAAAAAAGGCAGGTCTTCAATTCGACTGTATTTTTTTGGATGCTATTTTTTCGTCAATTGTGAACCGATTTCAATGATTCATTTTATTGTAAAGGTTGTATATCAAGGATAGCCCCATTTTTTGAAGAAAATATTTCATCTCCAAAGGTGGAAAGTTGGAGAACCTTTTTATTCCGATCAGACCTTTTTAACTTTTTAGTTTAAGTTTGTGCATATATACAAAGTATTGAAGTCGGTTTTTATACGTCGGTACGTTTAAATTATAAACTGTTAAAGTAAGGCCAATACAATACATTATTATTTAAGTATGTTGCTAAATATATCACCAATGATACTACGCATTTGGCTGACGTTGTTGAGGGGCGACGGAACATTATTTCGTTGGGTAGGAAACAGATTACAGTAAAAAATCGTAAAGGTAGGATCATAAATGGAAGAGGGGTTCACCACATAAACCAAGGGACTAATATTTGCCTAATAAATAAATTATGAATTGAAAAGGAATTCAAAAATTAATTACCCAATTTTTAAATTAATAAATTTAATTAGATTAGGTTCACCACTAAGAACAAAAGAACACTAACAAGTGCTGAAGTTAGAGTAAAAAGCAATTTGTTAGCCATCTATCCCAGTTAAGGAATAGTGCTATAATTTTTTTTACAAAAAACAGACTTATCGTAGCCAAAGCACACACTTGAACATATCGTTGGTGAGATAATTTTTTAGCAAAATTTTAACATTTTTTGTAGACATTTTGTCTATAGTTTATTTTGCTTTATTAATTTCATACGGGACTTTTGGGTGTGGATTTTCCCACTCAGTGTAAAACTAAACGTGCAGTTTTTAGTCAATAAATAAATAAAGAAGAGAAAAACTTTTTTTCATTTTTGCGACTTTCTTGTTAAAGAATGATGATAACGAATGATGTCAAAATGTCGTAATGATGAGGATAGTTTTCAAACTGCAAGGTTATCTATTGGTAATATTAATTTTTCTAAATTGTTACGATAAGTCTTGCAAAAACTGGAGCCAATCTCGGAGGAACAAGTGATATTGTTTAAAAGCAAGACCAAATTGTGTGTCATTATTTTTAGAGTTTTCCAATCAATGTATTCTTCAAGTACCGCAAATTCATATAAAGGCTGAAGCATAACGGCAGCTAAAAGCATAATTCTGAAGTTTGATGACTCAAATTTGTAATAACAATAGATAAAATTGCTACACATTGATAACACAATTGTTATATATGCCGTTCAAAAATTTTGACAAATTTGTCGAGTACTTAATGGTGAAATTTCCACTTTTAAACGAAGTAGAAAAGAGACTGGAAATGGTCAGGTTAATACAAAATATACGTAACTAAACAGCAAAAATAGATAAAACTACCCCGAAAACGCATTTTCATCAGATAAATTGAGAACACTAAAGAAGGATTCTTTGTATGAAATTAAAGTGATCAGATGATGGAAGAAAAAAGTTTTTGAAATATCGGAAATAGTAAATATCCATTTGACATAAATTTTAAACGTGCCAAGGTTAAATTTAATATAGTGTACGATATTTTTCACTTATTTCTCTTTCTTATTACTTATTTTATAGATATTATGTTTCATAAAATATGCACGCCAGAAAGTACAAATATCAATAATACAATAAATGTTTTAATGCTTTATTCTAAAAATTTTAGCAATTCACACAGATTTTTTGGTTATTTTCGCATTAAATATTGTATCTTGTTTAACTTTTACTCTTACTTATGTGCATAAATTATGCTATTATCGTCACATAAATTTCTATTGTAACAATTATCAATCTTGTTTTTCTTGTTGGATAACGCGTTTGCGCACAGTTTGGAGCTTGTAACTGGATAATTCTATCGATTTATATTATTGTAGTGTAAAATGTAGTCGGCTGCACAAGCAAAGGCTGCGGAGCCTGTTAAAATATTCGAATTCCACCTATATTTTATAAATGTACCCCAATTCAAAAAGTAGGTATCTGTTCAATGCTTTACTTCCTTTATATGTAATAAGATTTTATGCTTTCTAGATTAGTAAGTACTACAGCTTTCACATACACTGCTTCCAGAATGTATCACTCCTGGCAAATTTAAAAATAACCCTTAAATTGTTTGATTAATGGCTAATTAACTATAAGCATTATTTAAACGTTAATACTACTTCTGCATGGTCAATTCAAAACTTTAAATTCATAAATAATAAAAGATTCATAACTGTATGTTTCATAATTAGACCCTACAATTTGTAATTTCCGCTGAATATATTTATGATTTTTGATCAGCAAGTGCATGCCAATTGTTTTTTAATAACAAATATTGCAATTTATTACAGCACTTATTCATTGAAAATGTATTGATTCTTGACAATATATTTTAAGATTAATAGAATAATTAGACAGGTAAATTGCAAGTGAAAATTCTCTATTTAAACAAGAACTATCTTTAAATAAGGAGTTTTCAATACATGGGCTATTTTTCTAATGGTAATAGAAAATGGAATTATTTGATGAGCTTATATAATTAATTGATAATATTATAGTATTAACAAACCTTTTTCTACACTGTATTTAAATTTCAAATTTCCGATGATAATTAATTATAAAAACTAAACACCATGCTATTTAGAGAATTTGATTTACCTATTTTAAAAAAAAATTCTCTAATGAAATAATAATTAACATTTAGCTCTACAGATCTAATAAATAATTGACATTAAATTTACCAAAAGTTCTAAAAAAACTGTCGTATTTAAATGTAATTAAATTCTTTCAAATACTTTCGACTTAAACAGTACTTCATTATATATGTACTTGGGTTTGTGTTTCATGTAAAAATGCCCACTTGTCGACAAATAAAACAAAGTATAGTAATGACTTTTGGTCGATGAATCCGTTTGCAAAAAGTGTAATTATTTCACATTTAGGCGAATAAAACTACCGAATGTGTTGCACTTTAAATTTAATAGTATCAAGTTTGAAATGTTTTTTTAGAAAAAAGAGCTATGGAACAATTGCTATGGATAACATTGATCAAAATCAGAAATCCGCAAAGCCCGAAAATCAGGGTATGTCTAAACCAGTTACTGTTGAAAATTCAGCATCAGATGTAGAATTAAATTTATTGAGTTTAACGTCAGAAAATGGGGACGATAATGGTATACTACCAGATATAGTAGTTGACACAAAAGCCTATGAAGATGACAATGAAGACTTTCACGAAACCTATTTATCTATTGCCATACAAGTATTCATACCATTTGTCATTGCTGGTTTTGGCATGGTTTTTGCGGGATTAGTATTCGATAAAATACAGGTAACAGTAAGAATTTCAGAAATCCAACAACTCCAATTCTACCCCTCTAAATACTATATTTTTTATTGATATTATTAATGTGCAGAAATCAAGCTAATAGATAGGGTTGTCAAATTTATTCATACAAAACCTAACCATCATTTGACCTTCTGTTACGAGGCTTTATTAAGACGAAACGTTACATTAGTTTGGTTTTATAAGAATGAAGCCTACAACCCTGTGTATTGTCTTGATTTCTTCACACAATTGGATTAGGGGAAGACATGGAAACTATTATGCACTAACTATAATATGTAATATGTTTTAAAACAGAAAAGTCCGATAGACCTAATCGTTTTTCTAAGATTACAATTTTTTTATACAAAGGATTTTTATGTTGTTGAATAAACCAATATTCGAAGATCTCGTCCGGAATATGGACAAATTTTACGGTATCAACTTTGGCTGCTGAGGTTTCTAAACAGGCGGACGGCCGTCAAGGAACAGGGGGTAGATAGAGTTGGTAAAAGTGCCCCATTGTTTAACAGTACATCTTCGAGATAGTATTCAAAATATTACAGTTTGGTATACTTAATTGAGTTGAGTTGGAACAAAAAGAGCAGCAAATAACGGTGTAGTAGACAAAAATTAGTTTTTAGGAATATGAAAAATTAAGAACAAACCGCATTCAAGAATATTTTTGATTATCTTTTGCCATCGTTGAGGTCAAAGGTTTTCGCTGCCAGTAGATGAACTAACGCTGTTCTGATTCGGATCTAAAAGCCGTCGTCGGTTGGAAGTCCTTCCATCTCCGATGCTGAAATCGAAAATGGAATGACCTCCAAAAAAGCTGCCAGCGAAACGTTAGGAAGCAACTTTAACCGATGACGACCTGTAGACCTGAATTAGAACAGCATCAGTTCTCATAACAAACACTGAAAAAAAATTGTGGCTTCATCGAGTGTCTATTGTTTCGGATAAAGTTTCACATCTCTCATTTCGTTATTAATTTATTACGTCATTTTCAATATTATAACAAATGCCTTGACAAGGCTCAAGGTCTCTATATGAGCTACTAAATCTCAAATTTTCAAGTATTTTTATTATATTTCCCTATAACCATTTCATCCCCATATGTAATGTTCCAAGAACCTTTAAAAAAGTGTTTTTGATTTCTATCTAAACTCTGTTTCATGATATTTTTAATTATTTCGGGATACCAATACGATTTTTCACTCCTATTTTCACATTTATAGGAGTCGAATTTCGAACAATAGGTCTTAACGAGCACGTAGAATTCACAAATATTTCAGCGATGAAAAGCTTCAAATCGATAACTTTGGTTAATTTACGATTTAAGCTATTTAATCGAGGCAGATATTTTGTTTTAAATTATGTAATTCCCAAAATCGATAAAGAACTGTAAAGAAAAACAGGGCTATATTAAACATTTATTCCAATGGGAATTTCATTTTTCTTCAAGTCGAGGATACAGCGTTCGCAACAAACTGTCTACTCATGTAACAAATAGTCCGTAATTAGCTCTGCTAAGTTTTCCATCTCTTAACTAAAACTAAATTACCAAGTTATAGAAAGTGTTTACCAATGCAAATTTAACGTTAATAACTCCATTCATTATTTGCTAAAAAATCTTTGATGAAGGAGCTAAAAAGCCCAACAATATCCATATCAAAGAAAGAGGAAACTGGCGATGCAGCAGTCATGTGTAATTTACACGAACCATTTCAAGCTACTTTTGATCCCTTCACAATTCGAAACCTACTTAACCTATATACGAGGGTGGATTGATAAGTTTCCGGCCTGACCAAGAGATGACGCCACTAGGCCTACCTTGAGGTGACATTCTATAGTACCATCCTTGGATAGCTTGTAGCTATAGTTTCAGCCCGATCTCCTTGCTAGTGTAGGTTTGACAGCACGCTGAACAAGACGCCTCTGTGGTTTTCGTAAAAATGGAAAAGCAGGAAAATCGTGCTGTCATCAAATACTTTTATTTGAAGGGGTTAACGCCGAAGGAAATTAAAAAAGAGATGGACTCAACACTGGGGACATCCTCCCCGTCATATTCAACCGTTAAGCAGTGGGTTTCCGAGTTTAAAAAGGGTCGTGTGAGCACCTCTGATGGGCCTCGCTCAGGACGCCCCGTTGAGGTCACAACTCCAGATATGATCGAAAAAATTCATCAAATAGTGCTGGGAGACCGCAGATTGAAAGTGCGTGAGATAGCTGAGACCTGTAAGATGTCATATGAACGTGTGCAACATATTTTGCACCAACATTTGCATATGGAAAAGCTCTGTGCAAGATGGGTGCCGCGTTTGCTAACAGTCGACCAAAAATTGATTCGAAAAAACATTTCTACCGCAAATTTGTCATTGTATAAGCGTAATCCAAGCGAATTTTTGCGTCGATTCGTAACCGTTGACGAAACGTGGGTCCACCACTACACTCCTGAAACCAAAGAACAGTCTAAACAGTGGATTGGACCAGGGGAACCAACTCCAAAGAAGGCAAAAACAATTTTTTCGGCGAACAAGGTTATGGCTACTGTTTTTTGGGATGCAAGAGGTATTATATACATTGATTACCTTGCAAAGGGTAATACTATCACTGGTCAATACTACGCAGACTTATTGCAACGTTTGAGCCACGAGGTGAAAATTAAACGACCTCATCTGGCGAAGAAAAAAATCTTGTTTCATCACGATAACGCACCAGCGCACACGTCAATCGTTGCGACGGCTAAAATCAACGATCTAAAGTTTGAATTGATGCCGCACCCTCCTTACTCTCCAGACCTAGCCCCGAGTGACTATTTTCTGTTCCCTAATCTCAAAAAATGGCTTGGCGGTAAGAGATTTGCGGACAATGAAGAAGTAATCGAAGCTGTAAATGGTTATTTTGAGGAGCTTGACGAATCAGTCTATAGAGATGGCATTAATAGACTGGAACACCGCTATGAGAAATGTATCAGCCTTGGAGGAGATTATGTTGAGAAATAAAAAAAAAAAATTTTTAAAAACCTTGTTTTTCTTGGTCAGGCCGGAAACTTATCAATCCACCCTCGTACATGAAATTTGGTAGATGGAAAGACCTCGCAACTCGCGCTAGCGAAACGTTAGGAAGCAACTCCAACCGACGACAGCCTTTAGATAAACATTTTATTGAATCACATAATTCATCTTGTCTTATAATAAAAGGCTTTATAATTTTTAATGAAATACTATAGAAAATTCTTCATAGTTCCACCGTGGTCGATTGATCATAATTGATATTGCGCTGCTCATGTTATTGTTGATTTAGATGGTTTGTCAAATATTTAATATTCACTTGAAAATTAACTAGAACATTACTCAGCAATAAAATCTTTCAATTAATCAGTATTTTGTTGAAAGTATCTGACATGGATTTCAGACTTGCTTGTTCTCATCAGAAGGCACTAGGGTTTCAAAACAATACTGACCAACCGCGAAGCTGCTACTGGTTAACAGCAACATTAATACATAAATAAGCGAAGACAGCGCAGTAACCCCTACTTGTTGCGGGTTCACCAATATTTAACAATGTCCTTTGTTGTCCTTTTTGGTTAAAGATATTAACTTATCAAACTGATTCAACGGCATAACTAATTAATTAGATACTAACACGATTAGGACAAACCTGTACAGATGTATTTATTTATCTTAGAACATTTTTTAATGAAATTATTATCATTGCAATATCAAGCAAAACAAAGAAATGTGAATTTAATTTAGAGACTTGATTTAACTTTGTATAGCTTTGTCCTCTTTTCTGAATAATTATACTCAACTGACTTATTTATAGCACTGGGCCGTTTTTGAAGAAATAACCGAACTGGTCATTTTAGTACCAGCATTGCTTGGTTTGAAGGGTAATCTGGAAATGACTTTAGCTTCTAGACTGTCAACTCAAGCTAATCTTGGGCATATGGACACATTGCAACAAAAATGGAGTATGATAGTCGGCAATATAACACTTATTCAGGTAATACCAACAGTGGGGCGAACCGTTACGAATTTTATTCTTTTTGTAGGTTTAGTCAGTCACTATAGTGGCAAGCTATTAAATAAGAGATTCATTATCATTTTTAGGGTTCCAAATCCAAATTGCAAAAATGGAACCCTTGCAGTTTCGTCATTTTTATATTTTGAATATTTGCACACGACTCTCTAGATAAAATTTTTTCCTACGGTCCAAAAATCATTTTTAAGACAGCTACAGCGTTTGAAAGTCGCTAGGATTAAAAACGCTTTTATGACCTTGGAGGGAGCGCGTGACGTCACTACTCTGTAGGAGACAGCGAGCTGGCATCGCGGCCGCTCCATTTAGTGAAATAGTGTTCACTGTACTGACAAATACGTCTATTATAGACAAATTATGTGTGTCAGCCTTAATTACTTAATTAATTAATTATTAAATATATTTTGGGAGTTTTATAGTCGTGTATAAAATCCACTTTTTTTTTACTATTTTGACGCTTTTTCGATAGGCATGTAAACTCCTACTTACGATTAATTCCAAAAATTTTATTTATTTTAATTTTAACAACGAATAGCGCAGGGTCGAAACGATTTTATCAAAAAAAAATCACTTCAATGCTCGCGAACATTTCATTTTGATATTCAAAGAAGATTATGAGAGGTATACATTTGGAGCACGGACGCGTACGAATGCAAAATGTGGAGCTGCGGAAAATAAAAAATTGTAAGCATTTAAGATGCGGTGTTATTGTTAAAGATGAAAATAAATTAGATATAAAAGGTTAAAAATCAAGAGTTATTCGAAAAAGTAGGAAAGTAGATGGTATTATAGAAATTAATAAGAGAAAGGAGAGACATGAAAGAGAAGCAGAGAAGACCTAGATTAGATTCTTCATCTTAGATTACTGTTTTCAAATAGTTAAGGATGTTCCTGTTTTCGTGAATGCTAAAATAAGTTAAGAATACGAATAATGAGTGGAGGTGCTTGCCAAACTATAGTTTTAGGATTAAAGACCTTTGTGGGAGGGTAGTGGGTGCATAAACAATATTAGCTTAACCGTGATAATACGTGTTAGCCTTGCCAGCTGTAATTTGATAGGTCTGCGAAAAAAATAAATTATTGCAATTAATATTATCATTTGGAGCCCCGCGGTACATAGTATGTAAAGTCGCACAATCAGTACAGTCGAAGAAAAAGACGACCCAACATTTAATAGGAAATAGGTACGTCTATTAACTCTAATTCACTAATCATAATTAACTTCGTACTGAGAGACTTCTGTGTTCGGTGCTCATATGAAACCGTAAGAACATCTTGAGGTGATATGCTTACTAAAAGTTATTTTTAGATTTTATTGCCTCCCCCCCTGCATTTTTATTGAACTACAAATTCAAAAAGTTTTCATTTAGGGTTTTGATTTCAATTTTGAGTACTGTTTTACCTTGCAAAGGGTAATACTATCACTGGTCAATACTACGCAGACTTATTGCAACGTTTGAGCCACGAGGTGAAAATTAAACGACCTCATCTGGNAAAATCTATTAACAGGGTTAATCTAAAAGAAAATGCATAACAATTTAGCAAATCAATAAGGACACATTAACATAAATAATGTGAATAATGAATGTTAATTATTTACTGTATCAATAAACATTAACCAAAGTAAGTAATAGACTGTTCTTAATAAAAGACCATCACAACTAATATTATTTGAAGTTTTACGAGCTAATGCTTGTAGCGATGTTTAAGTAACGTCCTCAAGCTTTCGAGATTGTTAATATCAAATTTGAAAATTAAGAGTTTCTCAAAATCTTTTTTTTATTTAAAGATAAAAAACGAAAAGATTAAATTAATAACTTGAAAAACATTTGAATCTTTTTGTTTAGAATTTTCTATAATAAAACTTTTTTGTATACCCTGCTCAGATGCTTCTCATACGTCCTCCAAACTACGACAAATCCGGGGAAACCCGAACGGATGACAACCCTACTTAGAACAAACATGCTCCGTTCTAATTGGTCCAGCATGCATATTTAGCGACAATTATGTTAGTTGAAGGTTAAGTTATGGTTCGGAATGTTACTATCCTCTCATTTGAAAATTGGTCAGAGTACCTTTCTTTTCAAATAAAATACAAAATGACTGCGTTCTGTGGGTATTTGTTTTATCCATAACTCGAAAATTGTTGTGTACTTGCCGCAATTTCGTGTAGTAAAACTGCTTTATTCACAATATATTTTGAATGAGTAGATACATTAAATGTAAGGACAACGTGAGGTATTCGGGAGTACATCGGCTCAGTTCCAGCTCCACCTGTTCTGGTCTGTTTCTGTGTGGGTTCCTTGAATCATTTTGACAAAAACTGGGACTGCAATATTCCACAGATATTCTCCTGTCTTCAGCTCGTCTGTATTATCTTTTTCTCCCCTACTACCACCAAACTATTCCCTCCATTCCTGAAAGATTAGAAGATAACCTTTCGCCCTTCCCTCTGGATATGCACGAGAGTGTCGATCAGAGAGACTGCATGACCACCACAAGTAATAGCTGCAATATTCCACAGATATTCTCCTGTCTTCAGCCTTTCTCTCCCCTATTACCACCAAACTATTCCCTCCATTCCTGAAAGATTAGAAGATAACCTTTCGCCTTTCTCTCTGGATTTGCACGACAGTGTCGATCAGAGAGACTGCATGACCACCACAAGTAATAGCTGATGAGAATGAAACGGCCAAACGTTTTTTCCCAAACTACAAATTTGATTATTTCGATCTATCTCCTTCAGAAAGTATTCGGGGTCTAGAAAATATTATTTTACATGTACTTATCAATGAAGATATTTCACCTTGTCTTCTACTCTTTTTTTGTTGTCATTGTTTTTATAGTTTATATTATGACAAGGCTTTAGTTCTCTTTCATTTCATTATCTAATACTTTCTTTCGCATTGTTAATAGGGGCATCGCATAAATAGATGCTCATGTGTATTTTATCTTCGTTACGATAGGATATGCCCTACCTCTTTACCGTATTATTCAATTTGCATGATAAACAATTTGTAAATTAAGGTTCATGATCAATAATTATTAAAGTTAAATGGTCGCAATTTCAGAATTTGTCAGTCACAAGATATGCGATAGTGTTACAGAATGATTAATAAAAAGAATAGAAAAAAAAGATAAAATGGGCTGTAAGTGAATAGCTAAAAAATTACAATACTAACTAAACTACTATTTGAATAAAACCAACTTGTAAACTTAAGATTTTATACGTTTTACTAGTTTTATTTAATTTCTGAGTATTTCAAGGGTACACTTAGGGTAGATACTAATTACTAGCTTTAATCGTCACTAGTTAAACCTAAAACAATTGGTAACATGAAGAATATGTTCATAATTTGATATCTGATTGGAAAACGTAATCTTTCAGAATTTCTCGAAACACTTTTATACTTTTTTACATAATTACAGACAAACAACTATTCTTGATTCAAAAATTTAATTTATGGGGGATTATTTCTTTATCTGAAATGATGTATTTTCTTTTTTAGTGCCAGGCCATAGTAGTGGGCTTTCTAGGTTCCGTGGTGGCAATAGTGATGGGTGGCATAAAGAGCAGCGACGTCGAATTGGATCATGCATATCTCCTTTGTGCTAGTAGTTTAGTAACAGTATCAATTGCTAGTTTTGTTTTGGGCCTTATAACAGCTGGAGTCATAGTTTTGTCCCGTAATTGCCATATTAACCCTGACAACGTTGCCACACCGATTGCTGCAAGTTTAGGAGACATAACGTCGCTCGCTTTACTCTCTTGGGTATCCACAGAACTGTACGATTCTATTGGTAAGATACTTTTTGAAAAAAGGGCAATTTTAAAAGCAGTACATAGAAAGGGAAGAAAAATTATCAATTGTTCTTTCATAATGTAATTATTTTTTACGTTTTGACAATGTTTTTGACACTATTAGAATGAAATATTTTTATTATGTACCTACTTAACAAATTATTTATATGCATTTTCTGGTTTCATTTTGGCTGACTCAAAAGTGTACCTAGACTTCTCCAAGATCTTTTGGGTCTAGAAATGCTAAACTACTAAATATCCCCTGGATGCAATTCGGATAGTCCGATAGAGAGAGAGAATCTCTATGCTTAAACAGGAACGGGTATTTTATTGGGTCCAGTTCCTTATTGCATAAATAGTTAAAAATATTTGAATATTTTAAGCAATCAATTGACATAATGAGTAGTAAGTAGTTAATTCGGTTTGTTGTCGTTTCATACCTTCTCGTTTCGTACCTTCTCGTTTCGCATCTTACGGGAAAAGTTATCGTTTCGTATCTTATATTTTTATTAAAAAAAATACTACAAACGGCACAGTGAACGCCATCTGTAGCACGATGCTACATTTTAGGATTACGTATTTTTCAACAAGGTCCACTTGTGTGGATATCTACTTGCTGAAAACGAATCCCGGCGTAGCCAACCTCAACGTGATAGGCACGTTAGCTTAATCGAATAAAATAATTCGAAGTGGTCTGTATTCTGTCGAAACTGCCAGACGCGGATCGCGATTTCGATCTTTCTGGATCTCATCAGCGCGTCGCAGGCAGCTCCGACAGAACGCAGACCAACTTTTACCTGCTGTCTTAACAGTGCGTTTCAGAAAATACTACAAACGGCACACTGTGGATAGAGTTATGCTCGTATCGTTCCCTGATGTGAGCAGCAAATACACTAAACGATTAGAATCAAACACCTTATTACTTCTTCAGTGGTACCCATGTCCATGTGAATGGTATATACTTGTTGAAATAGTTTTGGACAACTTCTAAATGTTCCGTCCTCAAAAAATTTGCCTTGACGCAATAATTTTCTACCTTCATTATGTCTTCGGTCACATTATCATAAAAAATAAATTCTTTGTATTTTCTGGAATAACAATTTCCTTTCTACGTTTTCTCAGATTTTGAATCCCTAAAGAACTATGTCGAGCGGAATATACAGTAGTTGTTTTTTAACAGAATAGAACCTCGTAACTGTGGTAACAAAATTCAGATCTTTCTTGGCTACATTTTTCATCGTTTCTTCTTCGTAAATTTGTGTTACGGGACCATTCTCTTCGCGGGGCTCTTTTCTTCGCATTGGAAATGCAGAGTAGCACAGGGTGAAAAACAAAAACTCATAAAGAGCGGTTTAACTTCACGGTACGAAACGAGAATAAAATTGGTTAAAACGGGTAATATTTAATTAAGGTACGAAACGAGAATACATAAAATGGCTTAAGCCGCCTATTTTATTCAATTTTGTTGACAAATTTAAGTAGGAACGTATCGTTAATATAATATGATCTGTTTAATAAGAGTATAGATAGTACTGACGTTATAGTGCAACCTTCATTTATTTATAACAGAAGAGATGAGATTTGATATATATTTATATCGTGGTAACATTTAAAATACAAATATGCAAAATCCTATTTCTGCTTGTATTTGGGTAGTCTTCTAATGTATTTTTTATTTTAAAAATGCCAAAGATAAAAATAAGTTGACGTATGAAAGTAATAGAATAAAAAAAAATCTAGTTATTGTTATTATTAGTTGAGCCTGCCAATTGGAAAGTGGTAGATAAAGTTGTGTAGGAAAAACTTCCAATCAAATTCTTGCTTTACTTGCTGTGACTCCTGCTACATGTATGCCTCTAACTGCGATTTGATCATGTTTGATTGAATGATTTTTTTACAGATTCTACGACTTTATCAATCACCTTTTAATTGACAGGCTTCAGATGGATTACAACAATGCAAAAAGGATTTGCTTGTTTTCCTATGTCATTTCAGTTCGTTTTTATGCAGTCGAGTTTTTCATTTTTTTTATTTTAAATTTTTATTGACAACATTTTGGCATCCATTTTATCAATGCACAAATACTGTTTAATGAAGCCTACAGTACACATCCCTAGTATGTCGGTTTATTTAGGTTCATCTCTAAAAAACATGTAGATATTCTAACTAAATAACATTTAACATCATGTTATTCTGGTAAAGTTGCGTATTCACTACGCGAATCGAACAAGTAATGCAACGTGCAATGCAACACTTTTGTTGGTTTTTTATGTAGTTTAGACGGGTTTGCAAAAATTTCATTCGCCATTTGTTTCGTGTGCACACCGAACCATTTGTTGTCTGCTTTTATAGCCAACTCAAAGAGACTAGAATTGGTTTTTAGTTCTTATTTTTACAATTACAACCAGTTCAGTTTTTAAATAAACGCAGGAAGAAAAAAGATATAAGCATTAGTGATTATTTATTTTATTTTGTTATTACGTGAAGACTTTATCAATCTATTTTTAATCACTGAAACATGTAATCGTTTTAAGAACCATTGAATTATAAGAAGCGGTTGGTATGAGTTGTTGGGGAAGCTACAAAAAAAGTGGCAAAACTTTCAACGAAATTTCGTAATTTGTTGTGGTTACCAAATCCGTCCTAATCATTATGATAGTTTCAAAAATTAGATTTCAATACTTAAATAATTGAATTTTCACTAGCACTTAATTTAATGAGTAGTATCCTTTGATCAGCATTCTTTGGTGCTTTGGTTAGTATTTATACCAGATTATCAGTATTTAAATAAATATAGTAAGTATTTTATGTTACATTGTTAGAATATTTAAATAAAGATGGTTAGTATTTAGATTTAAAGACTAACTAGCTAACCAAACCTAAGTTCACCTTCTTTACGTTAGTTCTGCTTAAGCCCATCATTCTTATTTCACTTTTGTGATTATGGTTTTAGTATGACTGGGTACCTATATTCCTTAATTATTAAGTTGTTTATCAATACTTGCCAAAAATGTTTTCATATTAGACGATTATTTTTCAATTTCTGAATTTTAAGTTTTGACATATGTTTAGGTGCTTATGTTGAATCTACGTTACTAATAATATGTCATTATTCAGCCGAACTAATTAGTCATAATATGAGATTCCCAAGTTTGTCTTCATAGTTTCTTTACTACAGCTTTGTTCTTTTACAGGAAGTCAGGATTGGTTAGCACCGATTATAATAGCTGGTTACATACTTGCGATACCATTGTGGGTATGGATTGCAAAGAAGAATCTTAACACTCGAGACGTATTGTACCATGGTTGGACACCAGTGGTCGGAGCTATGTTGATAAGCTCAATGGGGGGATTAATTTTAGACTTTATGGTTTCGCGTTTCGGAGGTATTGCCGTTTTTCAACCGGTGATTAACGGTGTCGGAGGAAATTTAGTAGCCGTTCAAGCAAGCAGAATTTCTACAGCTCTTCATAAACAGGCTGAACTGGGAGTCCTAGCAGGTTCGGACGAGGAAGAAGATACTGCAGTCATTTTCATTTCACCAGTAACCGCATTCTGCGGAAAAAATCCACATTCACGGACAACTCGCGTTCTTATGGCCATGGTTATACCAGGCCATCTTATCTTTATTTATACCATCGAATACTTAAAAGACGAGACGCCTCTTGACGCAGTGTTCGTCATAGTCTATTTATTTGCTGCCGTTACCCAAGTAGCAGCATTGCTGTACATCGCCTACATTATGATCCACTGGATGTGGAAACACAAAATTGACCCCGACAGTTCAGCTATTCCGTATCTTACTTCAATGGGAGATCTTCTAGGCATTTCACTGTTAGCAATTTCGTTTCAGTTTCTTTATCTTATCGGTGGCAGTGACGCCCCTCTTAAAGACAATTAATGTGATTAAGTTCAAACTATTTATAAAAACTAACTAACTGTTTATGTATCAGCTACAAATAAAATTAGATATCTGTTATGCAAATTTATCGATGTCTTTTACTGTGGTGAAGTACTAAAAAAATAGTAGGTATACCTATCGTTTTTCAGTTTCAGTAAATGAATCGATATAATGAGTTTTCTGTAGACTAGACTAATTATAATGTGAGAAATATGAAACAATGTTTTTATGCGACTATTTTATCAACAGATTTATGTAAACTGCATATGCGACCATGACTAATGGGCGGATCTTTTGTTATTACATATTTAATTTATACTTACATGTTCCTTTACTTAATGTAATAAATGGTTTATAAATAAGAAAGGACAATAGGTGAAATGCCTTTCCAGTAGTTTGCAAACATCACATCTAGAAGATTTATGTACTACAACACTTAGAGATTTCAAAATAAAGCTATACTCCATTCAATGAGAGTTTATGTTTGATTATTATTAGTATACCTTTCTGCACTTAAAAATATATGGTTTATAAGTACAGTTGCTTTCTTAAACTCTTGTTGATAAAATTATTACACAGCACTGTACTCTACAGCTTTACCTAGATATAAATTGAAATTGTTGAAATGCAAACCAGTACCTAGCATGTTTTAAAATATTTCCCCATACAACGAACTTAAGTTATGGTAAACTTTAAAATATTATTAGATAATAATTTTAGAGTTCGTAGCATTTTAAACAATTTTGATGTCTTAATGAGTGGAGTAGCCCACTTGTACTTTGCATTGCTTTACATTTCAACAAATATTAACGAGAACCTAGCCCACTATTGAACATTTATGCTTGTAGTGGTATTAGAACAATTTGTTTTAAAGTAATAACGTTGTAAGACACCCTTTTCTGATGGAATTTATGCTTAATTATTATTTGAAATTTGGCTAATCCAATATTCAATTAATGTTATTCAGAATTATTGGAAATTTCAACATCAAAACCAATCGTTTTTTTTTTATTAATATAAATTTAGATTAAGTTAACAAAAATATAAAAGGAGACTGTGGCGAAGTAAATAATTAAACTGAGAGGACTTAAACCAAATATCGCAACCCAATAAAAAAACGCGGACACGTGCTTCGTGCAGTTACATTGTGAACGTTTTTTAGTCTTATTAAATTTAGTTGAAAGAATCAATAAAGCAAAGTAAGCTTAAAAATCGACTTTTGATTCTTTAAAAATGGAAAGTTTCTGCACTTTTCCACATAGAAATAAAGAAAAGCTTTTCTATCGGCTTCTCTTTCCATCAGATTATTATTATGGGTTAATAATAGTAAAATTTTATGAGATAACATAAAAACAAGACTTTTAAGATTTTCACAAACTTTATTTAAAAGTAGCAATTGCTTCGCCAAGTACTCCTAGTCTGAAGTTCGGCGAAACAATTGTTACTTTTAAATAAAGTTTATGAAAATCTTAGAAGTGCTGTTTCTATGTGGTAATAGATTTTGAAGAAGTAAAGGTCAAATCTTTTTAGTTTTTATAGAATAACCTTAAAAATGTTTCTTTTTGTTATTTTCGTTTCTACTACATCTGCCTACTTGAGAGGGAAGCTTTTCCTACGTTCCTGTCCTACCCCTTCTCCCTCCCATATTCTCTATTTGCTGTAGTAGGAAACTAAAGTAAACTAAATTATTTTGAATGCCCACCAACCTTCAATTACCTGTTGTTCCTCAAAGGAACTCCTCACTTACAATTGAACTCGATGCTAGGAATGGGATTTCCAAAAAAAGCAGTTGGCTGGTGGCGATAATTGAAACACCAGTGCGGAGATTTATATACTATACTATTTCAATGATCGTAGTTCTTTACAAACCGATGTCTCCCTTATTTTAAACTTCAGCGTTTTCAATGCAAAATTGACTGCATTTCTTAGAGTCTGACGAAATTGGAAAAGATTTTTTTAATATCAAACTAATTTTCTGTGGATGATTTAAAACGAATTTACAATAAAAATCTATTAACAGGGTTAATCTAAAAGAAAATGCATAACAATTTAGCAAATCAATAAGGACACATTAACATAAATAATGTGAATAATGAATGTTAATTATTTACTGTATCAATAAACATTAACCAAAGTAAGTAATAGACTGTTCTTAATAAAAGACCATCACAACTAATATTATTTGAAGTGATATAAATGAAAACTTTATCTGTGACTCATTCTTTTCCTTAAGATGGTTAAGTAATAATGAAAGGGCAGTCTTCCCAAGAAATCATGCTTTCTTATGGTCAGATTCCACCCTTTGGCATTTACACTACTAGCATAGTTGTCTAATATTCGAGCCCCCTTCCGTTCCTATATGGCTATTTCCAAGTAAAAGAGAAACTTGATTTGAAAATAATTCTTAACGAAGAATTTCAACTGTTTGCAATTATTTTGCTGCGGTAGTGTAATACTACTACAAAATTTTATTTTATTTTACGGATATTTGTTTTTTTCCTGATTTACAGTAACAACTTATAGAATTCCAGCAGCTGTGTCTGGCATTTTTAATACGTCTAAGATACTTTCGAAGTCTTCCATCTCCTATGCTGGATCCGGACTGACTGTGAAAGGTTAGGAAGCAACTCCAACACACGACGGCTTTTAGACCCGAATCAGAACAGCATCAGTTCACATAAGTAATTTTTAAATTTTTGTAGAAATATATTTTTTTTTCTGTTCTGCATTTGTGGAAGGTACATTTCTTGTTTGGTTAAAAAAAAACTCGAAAAATCGAACACGTGCTTTTTTAGTGAGGACGAAGGGGTAAAAAAGAAAAGTCACAAACTTGAAACCTAATGCATTCTTGGATTTGTTTTTGTGGGGTGATTTTTTTTTTATGTTAGATTAAAGGGTTTGGTTTAGATTACATTACCCTCTTTTTCAAATTTTCAGTGGTTTGTTAATACACAGGGATTATGTAAGGCTTATTGCAAAACAATGCTTGAAGGTGGTATCATGGTGTAATACGCCTCAACTCCCACACACGTTTTATAACAATAACAAACGTCTGAATATGCCAGTAGCAATGTAGAATTTCGTTGCTACTTATAAGTTTTAGAATTAGCCAAATTATTTTCCAAAAGCCTCGGCGTTTTATAAAATACCTCATTTCACTAGATATATATACCTACAACAGAGTTATGTTAATATATTACTGAATTGTGCATCATTATTTAACAGCTACCTTGGAACTGTCAAAATAACTCAAAGTGTATCTTGACTGTCAGGCGTTGTTTTGATGAACACTGGAGAATTACCTGATGCGGAAACGAAAGTTCCTTGTTACCGTAGCAATACAGCAGCAGCAATAACTGACTAATTTTGAAATATATTAAAGACGAGCAGCTTTTGCATATACATATCCTAATGCTACTTCCAAATTCTGCCGCTTTTGACAGCATTTAGTTAGTTTCGGATTAAGCTTGTGAAGGCCATTATGCGATTAATATATTTTTAATTTTTAATATTTAGCTGTCGATCTATCATTGATATAATAATCTTCAATAACACATAGGATTACAAGAAAAATTCCTCGAAAACAATTGTTTTGTATTTATAAAGTTTTCATTCGTTGTAATATCTTTGTAGAGAATCTTTCTGAAAATATATATATATAAGGATAAACTGGCTGAGTGATTTATAAATGCACAAACCAACCCCATGACTCTAAACACATAAAATTATGCGCAGTCGTTCCTTCTACAGCGTATGCGAGCACCTAGAAAGACTTTTTTAAAATTTAACCCTTAAATGAAATGGAGTTCAAAGTTTGATGTATCGATCCAAGCTCAGTTAAGAGTTTAAAATTTTGCACAAAGGTCCCTTAGTCAACAGTATCATCCACTGTACTATGCGTTTTAAAAATACCATCCCTAAAGGTGTTAAATGGGGGTTTTCGATATAACCAATTTCAATATGTACGAAGTCGCAGCTACCTGCTGGTACACAATTATTCAAAAGTTTGAGTATTGCTTAAAGATATAGGTAACAGGATATATTAGAGTTAGGAGAAAGCATGGAAACATATCAAAAGTCAAAACTGAAATGATCAATCTGAGCGTCCGACGGGCGATGAGCTTGACATTGATCTTGAAACCAATGTTAAAAATTATTTTAGTGCCAAAGATAAGATCAGCGTGAGGGAATTTATTCTAAATTCAGCAACTAATGTCTCAATTATATCTTTCTCGAATACTGGGTTTTAAGGACAGCCCCGGATCTTGAATTTTTTCCAGGAGGAGCAAAAACTGAGAAATAGCGCTCCCGTTCCAATATTTTTACCTTATTATCATCATTGTAGCCATAAGACGCTCACTAATGGGCATAGGCCTCCCCCCCAAAGAACGCCTATATATTTTTCCAAAAATACATAGATGGATGTGTCGGACCTATATTTTAATTACGATAGGATAGGATAGGGTCTGAAATAAAACGTAAGATTAAAAATAATTATTGTATTACCCATTGAAATCACAGTTTTGCTCTTCGAGGCTTTTGTTCTGCAAATAAATCTGTGGCCTTGTCATAATTAATCTCATGAGCAGTTCTATCTTCATTTGCTAATATTGCGAGACTCGATAAACGATCCCGGTTCATCGATGATCGACTACATTGCGCGTTCAGTCATTATAAATTTGTGATAATGCTGAGTAGTTTATTCATCTACCAAGCTTGAATTTTCCGCCCGGGGCACGGGCTCCGGCTTGCCCTCCGCCCTGGATCCAGGGCTACTTAAGGGATTATTTGGCCTAAAAGAGAGATTTCCTATTTGAAATTTGAAATTGAAAACCATAGACATACTGAATAGGCTGAACAAACGGCTGGAAATGACCTTAGTTGGCCCTTGAACGGCGTAAGGTAGAGGGGGGTTTAGTCGGTGGGTTCCAGGACACCTTCCTTAGGAATTTGACACTACCCCTCTTCCACGAAAACAAAAAAAAAACTGAAGAAAACTGACCACTCTTAAGCGACAGTACGGCTAATACCTCTTTCATTCCTACAAGTTTCTGTTAACTATAAAAAGTGACAATTACTAACTGCACATTCGCTTTCTCTCTCCTGCGCTTTGGTCTGTATTTACTTAAAAATTTTGTGCTAATGCTTAATCCATTCTCTAAGTCTATGTTAAAAACCGACATTGAAGTGACCCTTTACTTCTTAGGTCAATGTTGAGGCTATCATCGGTCATTCCGGGGTGTCTCATGCATATATTTAAGAAATTCATCTTTTCCGAGATTTATAGGCATCTTTAAACTATTTCCTAATTCTATATTTTCTTTACAGATTTAAATTCAAAATTGCCCTTCATGATTAACTGAATATTCATCAAAATGAGTGACATGTAGGTATTTGTTTAACTCTTGTATGTGTGACGCTGCTGTCGTATCATAGCTAATCAACAGACTATTCGATTCCAACGACGTTTAATTATTTGAATAGCCCATAATTGCGCAAATAATTCTGGCTCGTTTGATGAATATCGGTGTAGCCTTTCTCAAAATATTTAAGGTTCCCTGCGTTCTTTCTCTAATCGTGAATCCGAAGGGATGTTGTATCATTACTTGTGGTTGAATAAAAGAATAATAGAATAATGATGATTAATAATAATAACAATAAATTTGAAAGAATACGAATAACTATTAATTGTACCTGCTCATTTTGCTATCGGTAGTAACAAACGTCTACCAAGTAGGTATATATTTATTGTATTTTGTTTTTACTACAGGAGCATCTTTTCCGATAGGTATTTTTTTAGGTAGCCAATGTTGTATTTTTTTATAGCACTCCTGTTCAGAAGTAAGGATGAGTGGTTAGGTCAAGACTGGTTAAGACTTTTTTTCTTTCTTTATCTACAATTTTGTAGAGTTTGTACTTCTGAATTATTAGTGTATTTGAACCAGAAATAATAATATTCAATTGAATTACTATATGATTGATAAATAACCAATCGACAAAAAACAATTTCTTGACAAAATGGAATAGAAAATAATACTATTTTATTTTTGGATACTTCATATTTATATATTTCATACAATTTGTTTTTGGTGATCTTCAAAATCCGGAAACCAAGAATAACCACGTTAATCATAAGGTTTTGACGGGGGTGTTAAAAAAGTAAAATCATCACCAAAGATGATAAACTCACCAAAAGAGCTGCAAGCCTTCAGCCCAATGCCCTTGTATAAAGTGCTTTAGCCCTTGGAGCCCCAATTACTTTTCAAAATCCAAGGACTTCGAATTACCAACCACTTCGAAAGCAATTAGATTCAAATGTCCAAGCACTCTGAAAGTGGTTCAAGCACTTTGAAAGAGCTTGAAACCCTTTGAATTATAAACTACAGTATATCTAACCCCTTAAAGGATTGAAGTACATTTTTAAGCACAAAGGATTAAAGCTTTACCCAGCTCTGACCGTCACCAATAAAGAGGCCTGTAAATGCAAAACTCTGAAAATGGAACTTTTTTGTCCGTTATCTCTGATTTCCACACTATTTTCTTGTAAAAACCGGTAATATCTATGAGATAAATGAGATATTTGGTATATGATATCAGTTATTGATGCATAAACCGTCTTGTTCAAGTTCAAACGCCTATATATCCACACGTCAGCCAACACGAACGGGTGAACAAGTCACATGTCCACAACAGGTGATTAGCTCGCCGTAAAAATACTTGCACTTTCTTAATACTTGGAAAGCTTATAATTTACATTTTTTATTATGTGTACATTTATACGTCCAGTTGGTGAAATTATGCTTTGCTTACTTTTATATTTTTTAAAAAATCATTTCGAACATGAGTACATATAACCAAATTTTTAATCAAAACCTGACACGTCACTAGTCTTGATACGCAAAATTGGACATGCCCAAATTTAAATCCTACTTTATAAAAAGCAAGCTGCATGAGATTTTTGGGAACCAGGCATCAAACACATAAAACACCTAAACGTAATCATATTTTAGGTTGTATACCTACTACTGTGACTAATAATAACACTTAATTCGATTTTTCTCCATTCTGTAAAATTTGTTTTAGTGGACCTGTTGGGTTTTGCATTTAGATGTCTGATAATGAACTTAGATCATTATTTATTTATGTTTCTCGTTCACAACACGTACATGTAGAAAAAATGATAACTGGTCCAAAAAATACAGTTGACAATAGTTTTTTTTTGAAAATCACACATAGATTTTTGTGAATTGCTTTAAAAGAAATAACTGACGATTCTGCTGGTACCTAAGTTATCTACTTATTGCAGGCATGACATTGGGTTTTTTAGGTCGCTCGATTTTGAGATGACTCCATGACTTGCGCGTTTAGAACAACGTCATTTTTCTTATGAACAATTGCTTACAATCACATGGACTGATACAAACAGACTATTGCCCATTTATCTTTTGACGGATAAACTTTCGTTAAAGGTGTTTCTAACAATTATATAGTAGTTAACGTCTCTGGAAGTATTATTGAAGGAATTTATAAATATATACTAAATACGAAGTTGTGCAAAATCACTTCCTCATTTATTAAGCCATTGCCTGCAATAAGCAACAATTTACATCAGCCTTACATGATTTCGGATTATAAAAGTGAAAAAAAGGCAGCTATCAATGAAACTTCTTTATTCAAAAGTAACTTCAAAGAAATTGTTTCGTAGTTGAATCAGACAGGCGATGATTAATGAATCAAGGTACTGTTTTAAAAGCTTTGATAAAAATAAGCATCCGTTAAATGGTGTAAGTAGATTCTAAATACATTTCTAAACCATATTTCATTAAATTGAACTTCGGAAAATTACGCTATTTAGCCGTATGACGAATTAATAAAGCGTCTGCTGCATACACATCGCAACTTTGTATAGCTTCGTAAATAAATTAGTGAGCTGTTACCGATATGACCTTCAGTAGCTTGCAAAAATTGAATTTGAGTGTGCTTTGCAATCAGCAAGTGATTGTTTTAATGATTTGATGAAATCCAGAAATTGCGCCTATTGGAAGCACACCGTTTTGGAAAAATGGTACGCGTTGTGGTGAATGAATTGTGAATGATGTGTGTGCGATAGAGATACTGTGGGAGGCTGCGCATGTAACGTCAGTTATTTACTAGAAATGTGGAAGCGAGGGAAGGCTTTTGGCGTGGCAAGGAAGAGTTCTTCGAACCAGAGGCGTGCAAATTGAGCGGGAACGCTTGCGTGCAAATCTCTTGCAAAGTTTTAGCACAGTTACCCGGGCTTGGCGCGCGCAACTTATCCTATTGATTCTCGTTGACCTGCACTACGTACCATGTATGTAAGTGTGCGTTTTGCCAATCCACAACACTGTCCTGTTACTCAGCCTGACAGAGAGACGGACGATGAGTGAAGTGTGGAGTGCTCGATGGCTCGAAATAGTCAGCTAGTGTTCATTTATCCTGTCCAAGGTGCTTGCGATGACGGCCAACTCTGGAGGACTTCTCAATCGGCTAGCCGACACATGACAAGTCCAACCTATTGCTAGAATGTCTCCGTGGGAAAGAATTCTAGCTTTACTGCTTCCCATCACCGTCGTATTCACCATTATGCCCCAAGGTAATTATATTTTTTATACATTCTTTTTTTATTTTTGGAAAAATTTATTAATGCGTCTACTATTTTTTCCGTTTTCAAATTTTTTAGGTAAATTATTATAACAAGCAAAGCGGTACCATGAAGCAGAGGGCGCTTAGAGCAAAACGAGATTGTTTTAAGAAAAGTTTCAATTCATTAATCAGTTTAAATACGATCTTAGATTCAGGTTTTCTTTCCAACATTTAGCTTTTTGCCGTCGACAAAATATTCAGTAGTTATCTTCTTTAATGGTCTTCTGGCCCTTCTAGTAAATAAAATAAATGCGTAAATGAAAAAAAAAATTAAGAGTTTTAAACGTTTTTTAGTTAGTTATCTGTGGTTTCATTGTAACATGGATTAGTAACGCATAATTTAGAAGAATGTTTAAATTAGATAATGTATGTTTTTATTCTGAAAGTTTTCAGTCAAACAAACTTTGATTATTTAAGCGTTTAGTACAAATAAAACTTTATTTCGGGGATGCAACAATCAACAGCGGAAAAGGAAACGAAAAAAAGCAAATATTTTTCGCATTTATGGGTTTTAATACTATTGTAATCAGAAGTTGCGGTAACTTGATGATACGATAATAGGAAATGTAATGCAGGATTCCAAGAGATGAATTTTTGAATTAAATCATTTTCTCCACAATTCTGAAGATATGAAATTAAGTCTTATTCCTTATAATTTGTTTTCGGTCGTCATGAATAATAAGTGTCATTATGTACAAAACAAACTCATCATTTCTTTTGATAGAGAATTTTTAATGACGATTTGAGAAAATAATATCTACACAACTTAGTAGATATATTAACCAACTTCATTGAAGAAGTTTACTTGGAAGAGACCAATTTTTAGAGTTTGATTGGATTTGTATTATTGTAGCACTACTGACTATTTGTCTATCTACTACACTTCTACAATCCGTCTTTAATGCTGTTCATTCTATATACTGAAATAATCAACAATATTTAAGAAGACTTACATATAGGATAGTACAAATGTCAATTTTCTACGATAACGATCCGCCGGTGTGTGAATAATTTCGTACATCAGATGAGAATATTTGACAATAAATTAATAGATTGATAGGTTCTCCATTAATTGCTAAAAAACAATGTAATAATTACGGATGGGCCGAGTAGGTATTTTTACCATGTAACCGGTTTTATGATCAGTAAACCGAGTACTCGCCTCAATTACATGCGAACTTTGGGTAATTGTTTGGATATATTATTCAAAAACAAGGAAAATATATATGTATCGCAAATACTTTTGGTTAATTTGCGAAACATTCATAAGTATCTAAATAAAATGAGATGCGTGAAATGTTAATTCTAGCAGTAGTGGTCTAATATGACCAGTGGTACCCACAGAAACTATCCAAAATTCGTATCTCTTTTGGTGGATAGATGATAAGTCTTAAAATAATCACACTTTTGATTAGTTTACATATAGGTAAGGTTTTAACCGTATCACTTTTTAGTGTCTCCTCATTTGTACAGAAAAGAATTTGTATTCATATTAAAGTATGGACAGTATTGCGCCACCTCCTGATATTTTCTGCTAAGTGTCAAACTGGATTAATAATGCAGCACACGCTAACCAAATTTATGAAGAACATTAAGTATTTGGTAAGTAATTTATCGAATACTACAGTTGACAATAAATATCAGTGGATGGCGAAATATTGTCCATACCTTGCCACTTCATCAATTCACTATTGTGGAACAGTTTTGGTTTGGTTACTTATTTATCTTAATTGCCTGTGGCGTGCAGATAATGACTGATAAGTTCGAAATCAATATCGTGTCCTATAGTTCCGATAAATTACTGGTCAAGAAGCTACTTTTTTTTTTGGATCATATGAATAAGTTGCTTTGTCGCTGCGCATTAGGATTCTTAACCTGATGAGTGGGCCCGGTCCCTAAAAGAGGGCTGTAGCTCTTTCAGTACTCAGGGTAGCAGAAATCACGAGGATTGGTATGACATTCTGATGCACAATACTGCGATGTGGAAGACAACGGGAAACCACCACATTATGATATCCCGAGAAAAAGAAACCCAACTCAAATGATGGCATCCTCTGGGGTAAAGCACTCCGGACGTAAACTAGTTCCCCATTTGGAAGTTCGGGTGGGGACTACCTCAGGGGATATCATCAATATAAAGATAGGAGATGAAAAATTAGAAGCATCTAGGAAGTCAGATAAGTCAAGACGAAAGAAGTATTAGGGATATAAAGCAGAAGATAGCGTGGGGTCGAGTCGTTTTCAGTAAAAAGAAGTCACTTTTATGCACGCGAACGGTTAATTTAGAAATTTGGAAAAAGGTTGTTAAAGGCATATGTTTGGAGCTCGGCGCTATACGGGTACAAAACATGGACGGTGGGCGCGGCGGAAAAGAAAAGGTTAGAAGCGTTTAAAATGTGGTGTTACAGGCTAATGATGAGAATACCGTGGATAGAGAAGGTTAGAAGTGAAGAGATATTAGAAAGAATAGGAGAACAGAGGACTCTATGGAAGTCTAAAAGATATAGGCGAGATAGGTTGATAGGACACCTTCTCAGACATGAAGGTCTAGTCAGAGACAAATTAGAGGCAGAAACAGAAGTGAAGAGGGGTAGATGTAGACCTAGTTTAAATTACTGTTCGAAAATAGTTAAGGATGTGGGTGTTCTAGTTTTGCGAAAATGCGAAACTTACCTCAGGATAGGAAAGAGTAAGGGTGCGTGTCCAACTAATCTTAGGACTGACAACCTTATGATGACGATGATGATGAATAAATTGTTCACTGAAAAACGAAGTAAAATAGAAAGAGGAAAACTCGGCGTATAAAGAAAAGGCACTCACGAGAACGGATACTAATTTGGAAGTTGGATAAAGTGCAACGAGCAGTTAGTTATTTCCATTAAAAGGTATTTGCCTACTTATTTTTTTTGAAATTGCCTACTAGACCGTCTTTTTAGTCTGTGTAACGTAAACGCTACTATGTAATTTACATTAAGCACAAGTGGCATGCTTGCAAGTGCCACTAAACCGAATGGACGAGTAGACTTTTTTTAACGAATTACAAAGAAAATATGTACGTTTTGGTACATGTCGCACAAAGCGAGATTAACGTAGAATAAGGTTATCATTATTTACTTTTAGAGCTCATAGTAAAAGCAATTAGTATTGTTAGAGTAATAACATAAGGTGACGGTTTCATTCGGATTTTGTATTCAACATTTGAAGTAACTCTTTACTACCTTTGTATTTTTGCTTTATTGAATAATTTAATTTATATTGCTTTTAATTTATCATGACTATTTGATATTATTCTTTTAGAGCCCAATGTCGTAAATTGTGCTAACTTGTATACAAAAAATATGTTCTAATTCGATAGTCGAAAGATCATATTTTAGAATATTT